CCCCCCGGATGGCAGCCTGCGGCAAGTGCAGCCGAGCTGATAGCTGAGTGCTGTGATGTGCTGAGTGTGGGCACTCAGGGCACTCCAAGCCAGGACTGCTTTGCAAGTGGGGAACCCCTGAGAACTGTCTGTCCGGGGTGGGGGTCGGGTCCCTTTAAGCACAGCCCTCGGCTAGCCTGAGACAGCAGCTCCACGCACTAAGTCCTCATCTGATGCCCTGCCGGCACTGCTTCCGGCCATCCTTAACCCCGGTTCAGGGTCCACTCAATGTAGACATGCTAGTTCGAATTAGCAAAACGCTAGTTTTTAGGTCTAGATGCACTAATTCGAATTAGCTTAGTTCGAATTAACTAATTCGAATTAAGTTAGTTCGAATTAGTGCTGTAGTGTAGACATACCCTAATAGTATTACTGCTGTGCGGCATCATATAGCCAAATACAGCTTTGCTTATTAAATAGTATGATTATTCTACCCTTATGCTGAATAACAACTTCAATAGGACTACGTGTCAACTAAGGGACTATTCCATGTGAGTAAAATCCTACTTTTTAAACTTAATAAAACAACTACTCCATCTCTGTGCCTGTGCTGGAAGAGGCTGGAGGGCCTGGCTCAGCAGGATAGAGGTTTGAGGGGTGCCCATGAAGGCAGGAAGGTAGATTCAGTAGTGTTTCAGCACATCAAGTGACAATTAGAAGCAGGAGTGGATTTTCACTGAAACATACTGTGCCCTGCCACAGGGCCCCCAGGACTAGTTGTCCAACACAGGATCCAGCAAAACTCCTCCCCTTCCCCATGCACACAGGGTGGCCACTCTAGGGGGGAGCAGTCTCTACTCAGAGAGGGCAGTGGGGGGAGCAGGAGAGCAGGGAGGAACATTTGACAAGTTCAGCAATATTGACAATTGAAAGTGACTCTTTACAAAATAATACTTAAAATGACTTAATCGATGATTTTGTAAAGAAAAAATGTAGAAAGACAGCTAGCTGATTCTTTTTTTCAAATTGAATAAGTTTCTTCAGCGGAAGTTAATTTTTACTTTTCCATTCATGAATCATCTATACAAACTGCAGCAAGGGAGGTTTAGGTTGCACATTAGGAAAAATGTCCTAACTGTCAGGATGGTTAAACACTGAAATAAGTTGCCTAGGAAGGTTGTGGAATCTCCATCTCTGGAGATATTTAAGAGCAGGTTAGATAGACATCTATCAGGGATGGTACTGGATCCTGTCGTGAGGGCAGGGGACTGGACCAGATGACCTCTCGAAGTCCCTTCCAGTTTTTGTGTTCTATGATTCTATTTTTAACACATTTTTCATGTCGGCTTGATGAAAATACAAATTTTCATCTAGACAAGAAGTTCTCAAACTGGTCTGAGAACTCCAGTCAGGTGGACCGAGGAAAGGTTATTATGGGGTTTTTTTTCTTAATAAAGCACTCTTACCCAAAATACTTTACAATAGTAGCTAAAGGTATAAACAATATTTGGAAAGATCATGAAGTAGTTCACCAACACCCTCAGCAATTTTCATGTGATCTGTGGGGAAAAAAATTAGACTACAAAAACAATCAAAGTACCTCACTTTATTTTCATTTACTTCTTATTATACGAGGAGATGAAGAAAAAAATGAAAAGTGGGAGGGACAGGAAAAGTGAATGTTCTTTTTCTTGGCTGGATCCCCCCCCCCCCCCCCCCCCAAATGAAGCTGAGCACAGGGCCCCATTAACTCTAAATCCGCCACTGGTCAGAAGGGAATATCTATATGACCAAACCCATTACACAACCCACTTTACAAGGGGCTATACCAAAGGATTAACTAGCATTTCCAGAGTAGGATGTTGTCTTACATTGCATGGTCTCCACTGCAATTGGAATCTCCAACATCCACAGCTGCATGAACACCAAATGTCCTCTTTGTCAAGTCCAGCTCCATGTGATTTTTAAACTTAATCATTATCCTCCTGGCCCAGAAAAGAATGCAGGGGCTTCCGTTAATGGTGACATTCACAGGGCTGTAATGGCTGTGCGGCATTGTTCGCCAAGATTCACTTTCTTTTCTGCTCAAGTTGTAGCTGACCATCTAATAAATCACATAAAAGATTGTTACTGCAGGAGTCATTCTCTACATGACATTTGATTTTTTTAAATTATTTTCATGAGATAACATACAACTAATTATGCCATTAAAGAACTTATAATCGATGTCCTGATACTGCCATACCTGTGTAATTGCTACTTGTTTTAAGTTATATTTTGGCTTCACACCACCCTCATAACGTCGGTCTACAAAAGAAAGAAAGTTACTAATATAAATGGAAAATCACTGATACTTTAAAGAATGCATGATTCTGGGTGTTTTCTTCCAAACACAAAGGGACCTTCAGCCAATGCCCCTTTATGAGGGATCTATTGATTTATGAATTTATATTTCAGTTTGATACAGAAAACACTCATACACAGAGCTCCTCTTTGCCCACCACAAATCAATTTTCTGGCAAATATTATCATTGGTGTACATCGGGTTTTTTTCTCCCTGTAGCCCTGATTCATGTAAAACTCCAGTGGAAAAGAACTTTAAAAGGATTAATCCATGGAGCTGTCAAATCGTCCATTTTACATTCATTTAAAACAGGGTCCTTGTTTCTTCACGTTTTGGACCACATTTTCAAATGAGATTGCACTGTGTAAGTATGCATGAGCCTGCATGCACAAATAGGGATCTTCATACCTGTGTTGGATAAAAGTACACATGAACTGAGAGTGAGTAGTCACATGATTTCTTTGTTCAAATACAAGGTTTTGTGGGAACACTACAATGACGTTAGGGGGTGTGTACACTCCCCTTCCATCATCCTTTGAACATTTGGCCATGGATGTTTTTAACTGATGCCAAAAAGATAACATTTCATTTCATTTGTATCAAGTTCACATCCATTGCTCTGGGGATATCCACACATTTTTATTTTAACAAGGCTAATGATTTAACTGGGAATATATAAAGAGGTTTCACTATGAACATTGTATAAAACACTAATTCCTTGCCAGAGGTCTTAATGATTTAAATAGGAATTGTGTGTGCAATTCAAGAATATGCTCAGGCTGACAGAGACTATATCAGTGCATTCAGATTCATTTAAAAGCCTTACCATTTCTTTGGGACAGCTCTTGATCTGAAAATGCATGTGAACTGGAACAGAGGAGAGAGAGAAAAATCCTTATTGTACAATGTCTGTACTTAACATTCAAACCTAGTTTGCTGAAGTGAGTTCCAATTGGTAACATTTCATTCAACAGTTGTGCACTCGTGCTTAAAAATATATACAGTGAAACCTTTGTTATCCGGCACTCTGTTAACCAGAAAACTTTGTTAACCGGCATTGCCCCCAGCCATAATACTGTCACATCTTCAGGTGCACAGGCCTGGCTTGGTTTACCATGATTGGCTTAACAATTTTTTATTTAAGAAGTACTAATCATCTTTAACTCAAAATAGAAATGTGAGACCAACTGCCTCACACTACAAAACTACCAATATTAAAATCTTGAGTTTTACTATTTTTGTCCATTGGTTTTTCCTAGGTTGATGAGACCCTCAGATAACTGGAATTTTTAGATAACTGGAATGCCCTAATCCCCGAGCATGCCAGATAACACAGGTTTTACTGTATCATTGTTCCTTGACTGCTTAATGCCAGCCATGCATAAGCAGCCAAAAGCTAGTATATCCAGGAATAAGTCACCCCAATATGAAAGGTTCTTTTAATGTTGAACAAGCTTCTAAGCCATCCCTCTCCTACTGACAGTATGGAAGCTGCGGCCAAGAGAAAGTTAGGGATTCCCCACGCTCCACCTCTTCATGTCAATGACCCTAGCTTTCTGTATCTGCCCATCAAGGATACTGTTAACTATTTTAATTTAGAACAATCTTCAGTTTGCTTTAGTTTACAGTGAAGGACTGACCAGTGTACAGGCAGCTCAGGATCAATGGGACACAAAGTCAGTGTGATTCATTCCTCAGCTGTAGATAAAAATCAGCATCCGCACAATCCTAAAATACCCTTTTTCTACTTCAGTAAAGAGCAAACAGAATCCCCCCAGATATGTGGCTGTACAATGGAACAATCATGCAAGGTGTAAAACATCCTCAACTTCCACTGAAGTCAATAGGCAAGTTGCTTGGTAGGAAAAGCTCAAGAAAACATTGAGTGAATGCCTACCGTATATTCCGGCGTACAAGACGACCTCTGATGTTAAAAAACATCCCCCAAAAATCGGGGGTCATCTTGTACGCCGGATGCCCCGCCGCCGGAGCCCTTCCGCGGCTTTGAAAGCCTCGGGGGAAGCCGGCGGGGGGGCATCCCAGGCGCGCATGGGCTGCCCGCCCGCCGGAGCCCCTCCGCGGCTTTCAAAGCCTCGGGGGAAGCCGGCAGCTTCCCGGTGCCTCTGGTCTGCTGGGGACCATCTCCAGCAGACCAGGGACACCGGGAGCAAAGGAGGCGGAGGGGCGCTGGGGTATAAGATGAAACCCTATCTTTTAATTAAAAAGATAGGGGGTCGTCTTATACACCCAGTCGCCCTATACGCCGGAAAATACGGTACATAACCCATTGTCAGTCTCAGCTTGCCATTAGCTCCTTAAAACATTTAGCCCCAGACCCTCAGTGGGTTTCAATCAGTGCAGCTTCATTGTGGTCAGTTGATCTCTGCCAATTTACACCAGCTGATAATCTGGCCTGTGGGATCAAATGTCTTACAGTGGCCAAAGCCTGAGCAAACAGGCTTTGTGAAGGTTTGTTACACAGAATATAGAGTGGAATCAACATTCCTATACCGGAAGTGCTCTGGTAGCTTCCTCGGGAATTGTACTTCCCTGGATTGATTGGTTGATCCGCTTAGATGCTGATCCACTGGCTTTGTGCCCACGTCTCCTGAGATACGCTGCAGAAACATTCCTCTGCGGGTACAACCAAATGGTGTATGGCTCCACTGCATGCAGTGGATGAAGTTTCCCTTGTACAGCCTTATCCTACTGGTTTCCTCTGACATGAGAACAGCTCAGTTCACTCCATGTGTGACTATGGAGGGGCAGAACAAGGGAGTTGCCCTTTAGCCACTTCATTTGAGAGCATGCATCCAGGGGTTTCTTTTTTGTTTGTTTTTGTAAGATTTAAATCCACCATGCAAGCAAATTAAGAATAAGACATTTCTAAATGCTGGTTTCTTGAATGGTATTAAAATAAGCATGGTAAGCCAGAGTCTTAGCTGCACAATGGCTGGCCAGTTGATGGATCCTGATTTGTGAGGGTTCCTCTTGTGTAAGAGGGATCCCTGAGAGCACCAACTGCATGTCACCCTATCCTCCAGCCAATGCAGTGGTGTTCTCAAGGAAAAGGTCGCATATCTGGGATATTCCTATGCCCTTGCGTTTCTTGGCTGCCAGAACAAAGAGTTGGGGCTAAAAGCAGCCAAACATAAACTAACGCAACATATTCTAATTTATACAGAAGCCTGAGAAGCATAAAGGTATCTTTAAGCCACCTTTGTAGCTTCCCTCCTGCTCTTGTGCCAAGCCCAACTCAGGTAGAACTGAGAATCCAGCCACATTCCAAATAGGAAAGCATCTAAGGTATTTAACAAATATTAAGGATGAAATACTGGCTCCACTGAGGTGCATAGTTAAGGACAAGGTTCTGTCTTTATATCTGTTCCTCCCCAATGAGTATGTATATTTTCAGGCATACTCAGTGCAACATGGACTAGAATCATTGGCTACATCTAGACTGCAAGCCTCTTTCAAAAGAGGCTTTTTCGAAAGTATCTTTCGAAAGAGAGTGTCTAGACCAAAAGCAGATTTTTCAAAAAAGTGAGCCGCTTTTTCAAAAGAGAGTCTGGACGCTCTCTTTCAAAAAAGCAGTTTGCATTCAATGGCACTTTTTTTCAAAAGAGTACTTTCAAAAGAGTACTTTCGAAAAAAGGCATTATACCTCGTAAAATGAGGTTTACCGTGATCGAAAAAACTGCCACTTTCCTTCGATTTACTTTTGAAAGAATGTGGCAGCAGTCTAGATGCAGGGGAAGTTTTTTCAAAAAAAGGCCACTTTTTTCGAAAAAAAACCCTGTAGTCTAGACACACCCCTAGTGTTCAACTCTAAAATCTCAAACCCAGAAGGTAAAGCTGAACAAACTAGAGTAGACTCTATTCCAGCTTGTCACTTTTTCACTGACTACAAGGACTTTCAGCCAGCTTTGCTCCAAACCGCTATGAAGACTCCTCTCTGCTGTGACAAGAGGCAGCAATATGACAGCAGAAATGTTCCTCAGAAACTGTAACAAACTAAATACTAATAAACTAAAGCCAGCTAATTAAAACCAGCTTCTGCTGGTCCGCATTTCTGCCTCTTATGGCACAATCAACCTTTGGAACTCCTTGCCATAACATGTTGCCAAGACCAGAACTTTAACAGGGTTTTAAAAAGAACTAGATACATTCATGGAGAGTAGGTCCATCTATACTTATTTGCCAGGATGGATAGGAATGGAGTCCTTAGCCTGTGTTTGTCAGAGGCTGGAAATGAGTGACAGGAAAGGGATCACTTGATCATTAACTCTTCTGTTCACTCCCTCTGGCATTGGTCACTGTTGGAAGACAGGATACTGGGCTAGATGAACCTTTGGTATCATCCAGTATAGCCATTCTTATGTTCTTATATTCTAATGACTCTAAGTAGGACTGGGAAAATCTTAGAAGGTTCTATATTCCATTTCAGTTCCGAGCAGATAAATACCATATTCCTACTTAAAATCCTGGATAGATACAATAACGCAAATTTTACTCTTAGTCATACATATCTACCCACTGATTTCAGTAATGTTGCACAAATGCAAGAAAGAGCAGATTTTAGTCCATCATTCTTCACTTTCTATCCTACACCGTAAATTAATGTTGCTGACACCAATAATGTCCATATTTTACTCTAGTGATTAGTGTATTTCATTAGTTGGCAAAATTATCATTGTCCCATATCTAAAAGTTGGTTACCATGGCCTGGGCTAAGGCATGGCTGCTCCCTCAGGGCAGGTAAACCCTTCCCCAGCGCTCCGCTACACCTGGCTGGGAGCTGGAGCCCACCCTGGACAGTCCTTAGTTCTGCCTGCCCCAGTTCTGGAGCATAAGGCTACAGGTGAGGGGCGAGCTCCTGCCAAAGTGCTGGGCTGGGCAGGGAAGTGACTCTGCCCTCCCAGCCCTTTCTCGCTCCAGCGCTGCTCCTAGGGGGCTGCGAATCCCAGTGCTGCTGCCCTGTAGGTGTGTTCACTGGGGACACAGGGATGTGGGGGCAGAAGGGGAGTGAAGGAGGATGTGGCACACACTTGAGGCTACAGAGAGAGATTAATGAAGCTGCTAAAATGTAAGTAGGACTATTATTGACTTTAAAAAGAATCAATGGCACGCACACCCATAAATAGAAGTGAAATCACGAGTGTCATGCGCACCTATGTACAATGCGCACCCTGACTTTAGAATCTTAGCATAATGAAAAAACTGAACTCCTATGTACAATGCGCACCCCATTGTACAGGAGAACAGGAGGTAACCTGTTTCTGAAGTCCAGAATTTCTTGGTCTCTACTAAACTGGAACACAACATTTGATTATCCTTAAACCAGATCTGAAGCTACAGGGAAACCTGCACGCAGCCTGGGGAGCCAGTGGCGGAGTTTGAAACCTGCCCCCCGCCCTCCCAGACAGCTGCCCAGTTGCTGTGGGCGGCAACATGGCCTGCTCTGCTGAGCCAGGAACCGACCCACCAGCACCAAGCCCAGCCTTGCCTGCTTCCCGGAAGCGGCGCCAGGCTGCAGGAAAGCGGGAGGGAGGTACGTGTCTAAACTGGAACACAACATTTGATTATCCTTAAACCAGATCTGAAGCTACAGGGAAACCTGCACGCAGCCTGGGGAGCCAGTGGCGGAGTTTGAAACCTGCCCCCCGCCCTCCCAGACAGCTGCCCAGTTGCTGTGGGCGGCAACATGGCCTGCTCTGCTGGGCCCGGAACCGACCCACCAGCACCAAGCCCAGCCTTGCCTGCTTCCCGGAAGCGGCGCCAGGCTGCAGGAAAGCGGGAGGGAGGTACGTGTTGCTCCTACCTGCAGGCTCGCCTGGGAAATGCATGTGCAGCAGACAGCTGCCCGCGCACCACGCCGAACTCGCACCTGCCGTGGGGACCCCCGGGGACCTCTAGGCTTGCTTGGGAAACATGTGCACAGCGGACAGCTGCCTGTGTGCCGTGCTGAGCTCGTGCCTGCTGCGGGGACCCCTGAGGACTCCCAGGCACAGCCTGAAGGAGAACTAGGCAGGCAGCAAGCCAGGGCGCTGCAGTGGGAAAGTTTCTGTGTGGAGAGGAGGAGGCGTTTAAAACTTTAAAAAAATTGCTCCTATGTATAATGCGCACCCCGGCTTTGAGCCTAAAAAACCTGGGGGAAAAGTGCTCATTATACTCGCGTTTTTACGGTAGATCCCTTGATAGTACTGAGCACCGTTCGTGATGCTACTATGCCCCCTCTTAACATATTCATCCACAGGGACGAGCAGGAGCAAGCATCTTGCTGAACTTTTCTGAGTGTAGAGACCATTATTGTGGAAGACTCTTGGGCTATGTCTACACTAGAGATCAAAGCTGCTGCTGTCAATCTTCCAGGGTTTGGATTAGCAGGAGTAGTGAAGACATGCTAATTCGAACTGAGAGGGGCACTCCAGTCAATGCTGGTAGTCCTGCTTTCACAAGGAGTAAGGGAAGTTGAAGGGAGAGTGTTCTCCCTTCGATTTCCTGCAACGAGGACAATGCCTAAATTCGAGTGGAGGTAATTTGATTTCACAATTAACGTAGCTGAAGTTGCGTATCTTAATTCAACCTTATCTCAAAGTGTAGACATACTCTGACAAAGCTACACAAGAATAGGGGAAATGTTTTGCACTGGCTTACATTAAGGTTGGTGATGGTCTGGTTCTCCTGCATTTATCAGTATAACGCCCTATGCTCCAACTTTTCTAAAAGTATGATTTGATGAAAGAAAATAGCCCTAAATTTCATGTATTGTTGGTTTGTCATAAGAAAAGACTGGGGTGGTCCACATTCTGGATAGCTTACTCTCTTTTTTTCATCAGTTCTTATTCTGGTAAAACAACCACTCAACGTAATTAAGCAGCCTTAACATGGACTTGAAGATTGAGATAGAATGTCAGTATTTTCCTTTTCTACTGTAGAACACTGTACTTGTGGAAAGCAACAGCAACACAAGGATTACTGTCATTTTTCATGGTAATGTATATAAAAATGAGGGAAGTGGGAAAGCCCCAAAATTACACACCAAAAATTTAAAGGCAAATTACTTAATGTATAGCCATTTTATTGAACATAAAATTAAAACAATGTAAAATTAACGAGTCTCAGTATTTCAATTTCCAATCCTATATTATCTTCAGTGAGTGAGTTTGCAGATCAAACATTCATCTTAGAACAACACTTTAATGCAATGTTACAAAAGTCAGTTCATTCTCTTGCTTAGAGAGAACATTTCATGGCTCTTCTGCTGCTTTTTAAGCTTGTTCACAAAACTCTGTCAAAAATATCACAGGAAAATGGTGTAAAAACACAAATTAATGAAAACACATTTTATTCATTCTCAGGGCTCACATTAGACTTGTGCATAACAACATTCTGATTTATAATATTGTAAATGTGAATATGACAGTCAGAAACTAGCTGTGACTACTACTGCTGATGCTGTACTATAGGCTGAAAGGATTACATGAGACTAGAAATGAAACTATAAAGCACTCAGCAAAGAGTAACTAGACTGACAACACTCTTTTTCACTTGTTTTAAACTAAAAACTTCAAATTCATTATAAAATACCGTTCATGTGTTAAAAGCACTGGCATTTCTTTAGAATTCATTATCTGAGAATAACTGCTCCATGATACAGGATACAAGATTTGTATGTTGAAATTACCATTCTAAGTTTGTTAGGAGCCCAACTGAAATTGGCTTAGCCCTAATACAAAGCACTGGAATGACTAATCACTATGTAATACCCAACTAAATAAGATTATATGTATAAAGAAGTGCAAAGTCCTACTTATCAAATGACATTATCAGTCTAGAGTAACAAAGTCTCTTTTTTCCATCTGAAAAAGCTCATGTGAAAGTATAGGGCCTGCACCTGAAACCATTTATGGAAATAGCTTTATTCACATGTGTGAGCCTACTGATTGCAAGGGGAGTGAGGGAGTGATTATGTGAAGAAGATTTTGCCCTGTGTAGTGTTCTTTTTAGCAGACAAGACAGTTAAAGAGAACTATATTATTAACACAAAATACAATCGACAGTATTACCACTCAATACTATCATTCTGAAATGCAGATTGCATGAGACAACACAATGTTAACAATAGACTCCTTAATACCTTGATTACTCCTTAAAAATATAACAACAAGCAGTGCAACCCTCTCATGTTCTCCAACTTCAAACTGTTTCACTATTGCTGACTTAGTGAAGTTTCAATTATTGGCACAATATTTTACTAGAAAATAACACTATCCACAGGTAAATCAAACGTAAGTGTGCATGAAAGAAAAATTCAAATTTTCTTTGAAGATAGTTTGCTAGTGAATCATATAGCTACATATCTGATTAGTCTTAGTGTACAAATACATCACAAGTTAAGATGTGATTGTAGAGTTGTAGCTTTAATCCAGCAAGCATGGGTAAAAATAGATGGACTTCAACCCAGGGTATCACACCAATTACATGCCAAGGGACCCTGGCCTACTCATGTTTACAAGCACACCTTGTTTGCAGCGTAAACATATCTTAGTTACACCAACCACAAGTAACTTGACTAAAGTTAATGCAGTTACACTGGTATGAAACCAATGTAAGTAAGGTCAGAATCAGACCCCAAATGTAGATTTCTTTATTGGAACCCTCCTAATGAAACATATTTCATTAAGTTTATTAAACATTTCTTATCATTAGCAAACCCCTACACAGATACTTAACTTTACAGAGGGAAGCAAATATGCCATTCTAATTACACTGAATAATTCTACAGTAATTTCACAGGAGGAAACATATTGATATTTCACAATTAAGGACTTGATTCTGAAGTTCCAGCTCAGGCAAAACTGCCACTGACTCTAAAGGATTATGCCTGAATAAGGTTTATAAAACAAAAACCCAAGAAATGACAAAACTGTAGAGTTTAGTTTGTTTTTTTAAAGAAATTGAGTTCATTATTACTCTTGATAACTTAATACATGAAGAGTATGATCCTGCTTCCACTGTAGTCAAAGACAAAACTTACATTGAGTTCATTTGGAACACGATTGGGCTTTTTAAATTTATTAATCTTTCTTATAAGGTTTGTTGTGAAAACTCAGTTCTACTCTGTTACGTCTTATCAATCAAAGAAAAGTGAAACAAAAAATAAACTATTTGAATGAAAACATATTGTCGCATTTATAACTGTCTCACTGATCTCTTAATACAAGCTTAAGCAAGTCACCACATGTTGCCCTAAATATTCAGATTTTATTGCCAGCTGCAATCATCAGCATATTTGATCTGCATGTTATTAATGACTGAGACATGATGCAAATAATTAAATGTGACTATTTCCACTTTTATAATGCTTGGCTTTAGAAAGCACTATATCTCTTTCTTGTCATTTTTGTGCCCTCAATTTGTACTATGTAAAAAAAACTGAATGCACTCAGACCATAGCAAATACAAACACATAAGATGAGGAGCAATTTTGTCATTTTAATACTTCTTGCAATATTGAACCTAGATTTCAATAATATCCACTTAACATAAATGAAATATTAAGGCACCTCTGCTGCTATTTTGTTGTTAAGTCTATTTTTAACAACTGATCAGGAATGAAAAAGTGAGAAAAGCATTACAATGAAACAGAGTATGGGAGAGAGAAATCACTAAGGCATATACTTTTTTAGACCATTTTAGGCTTATGTATAAAATAATTTGAAAGAGATTACACTTCATATTTTAGGGTTGAAAAGGTTCATTCTCACGCGAGTTCTACATGTTTTAAAACTAAAAATATTCTAATCCTGTCCTGCCATGCTTAACTGTGATCAAATCTATTCCCAAATGATACAAAATAAAACCACAAAACTACATTTTAAAAATGCATTCAGCTCCCCCAAAGTAGTTTGTTGAAATGTATCAAAGTACTGACCTTTCATCCATTCTTACGAACATTTGGTCCACAGAGACTGAAAATCCTACACATAAAAAGAGTAAAAAGCTAAAAGCAATGTTTTTTTCCATTGAGAAATGAATCTGTCTCTCCTGACCAAGCACATCTGTTCTAGCAAAGGGATCAAAACCTGTATTCTCACAAACCATGTGATGGATAGCACATCCAACCAATAGGAGGAAACATTTGTTACTGCATCAGTTGTATGCACTATGTAAACATAAAAAGCCTTTTCTAAGCAACTCTAACATACTACAGTATATTATTTGTGTTATGAATTATTACAAAAGAACAGAGTGCTTGGGTCCTACTGAGCTATGAAGTGAGCTGTCTTTTAAGGGGAAAAAATTTAAAAACCCACCTTTCCAAGTTCAGAAAGCTCAATTGAGCCCTATCACAGTTACTGATTGTTGTAGTTGATCCTTCCCTTGAAAATGCTGTGAAAAGTGTGATTTCACATAACAATCATAATCAAGTGAGAAGGTCACACAGTTTGATGAATTAAGCCTCATAACACCCCAAGAAGTCATCAAATATCCCAAATTTACAGATGTGGAAAGCGAGATACAGAGAGGATAAAGACCTCTTTTGGGGAAAAGTGGCATCAAATTGTGGGTGCCCTACTTTCTATTTTACTATGTTTTATAATCATAATTAAGTTTAAAATTTGCAGAAGTATCAATTTATTTTTGTGTATTTTGGGGGGTTGCCAACTTGAGGTGCCTGGGTCCATTGCCATGGTTCATAGCAAGCCCTGCCATCTTTTGGGATTATGCAGGAGATGATCTGTGGGAAGCAAAGCAAGTGGCCAGTTGGAAACCCAATCTTTTACATATCATACATCCTATGCATCTTCTGCAGAGCATGTGATGACTCTGTTTCCCTTTACAGTTGCAGGCCAGAGAAGCTACCCATATGGCCTAGACCAGTGGTCTCCAGCCTTTTTAAGTGCAAGATCACTTTTCCAATTTAAATCAATCCAGGATTTACTTCAGATCCAAATACCCTTATCCTACTTCCTTTTCTACCTCTTCTTCAAAGCCCTTCCCCACCATACCCCTTTTCCAAGGCCCCACCCTGCTCACTTTATGGACATGGGTACAAAGGTGGGGGGAAGGGAACATCCTGATATCAGTGGCCCCACTCTTCTGCCTCCCCCACCTTGAACAGCAAACAGAAACCGGGGGGAGGGAGGGAAGGCAGCTCTAAGGAAGCGGCCAGGAGTAGCACAGCAGTGGAGCGAAGGGCAGCTGAAGAGCTCTAGCTCCAAGCCAAACCAGTCAGAGTCACCTGTCACAGGCTCCAAGACCTACCAGTAGATCCCAAGTCCCACTCTGGTCTAGAACCCCCCAAATCATAAGGCTGATCTCAATTCCTTATCACTTACATATTTTTCCAGTTCTTATTCTCCACCCCTCTTGCTTTCTCTCATTCAGCTTGTGCCTTTCCTCCTGCTCCCCTTCTTCTCTGCTCTCTTTTCTATTCAATATTCTCTCTCATCTCCCCCATTTCTGATCCTAGAGCCCCCACCTTTCTGTGGAATCTCATTTCCTCCAGAAATCTTTGCCTTCCTTTCTCTTTTCCATCCCAAGCTGGTCCCTCTCCGCAGTGCCTCTATTCTCTTTTCCTCACAGCGTTTCTCGTTTTCCTCCTTAAAGTTTCTCCCTTTTCAGGCTACCACTGTTGTTGTTGACTAAGAAAAGTCCTGCTCCCCTTGCTCAATCACCCATGTCTCTCTCTTCTCCCACTTGGGGAGCTGATGCCATTGGGAGAAAGTTAGATTCCCCTTTTCTTTAATCTCCGTGTTTGCTATCTATCCCTGCGCACAGAGTCCTTTGTTGCCCTCCCCACTTACATATCCCCATGGGAGGGGGGGCAATCACAAGCCATCTCAGAGGAGGCCCCAATCTGCTGAATATATATGTTATCCCATACTACTTGGAAGCTAATGTCAAATACCTACTGATGTGATCACAGAAGTAAACCCTACTTGACTGATTAAGGGCTCCAGTCTGGTGCATTCTAGATATAAGATTAAGCTTAGCGCTTTAGCATCTGCAATCATTAAGATCAAGGATTTACTGTGTTTAATTAATTTTTCCTAGAGTGATACAAAGAGTATATACTAATCTTAAAATCCCTCGCCAGCTTGTGTTCAGTACTGCTACTATTACCAATTATGGGGAAACCTGGATACCTCTTATTTGAGAATCCCAGAATGAAAAGAAAAAGAGAAAATAGTACAGATATAAGTTGATAGAAGAGGCTTGGCTGAAAAAGATAGCTAACATCCCTGAAGAAAATATATATTGGTTAACTGAATAGTCGACTAACTGCATGAATTCCTAGCAGTTAGTCAACTATTCTATAGTTCCCAGGGACAGGGCAGCCACCAGTGCAATCTAGTCCCACATCCAGGGAGCCCCCTGTGACTCCGCACTGCTGCCTTTGCATCAGAGGCAGCAGCGCACAGTGCCAGGGGGGAACCAGTGTGCGAAGGGAGCCAGTTTAAAAACCAGCTCCCCTCACAGACTGGCTGTCTGCCGCCTGATACAGAGGCAACAGCACAGGGTGGTAGAAGCTCCTGTCCACAGGGGCATCTGAGCTCCCCACAGACAGAGGCTGCAGAGGGGGTGGAGGGGAAGCTGCCCCGAAGCAGCCTCTGTCCATGGTGGCCAGGGCTGGAACAGTCTCTGTCCATGGCCAGCACCACCGCAGACAGAGACTGCTTTGCAGCAGCAGCCCCCATGGACAAGGGCTGCCGCCAGAGCAGCCTCTGTCCATGGTGAGCCTGGGTCCACAATGGGCAGGGGCTGCTGCCATGAAGCAGCATCTACCCATGGTGAGCCTGAGCTTGCCATGGGCAGAGGCTGCTTTGCAGCAATATCCCCTGCCCCAGCCCCTGCTGCTACCTCTGATAGAGGCAGTGAGGGGGGAGGGGAGAGTGGGAGATGGCACCACAAAGCCGGTGCTGGGGGGAACTGGCTTTTAAGCCTGCTGCCCCCAGCACCAGCTCCTGTTTCCCCTCTCTTGCTGCCTCTCATACAGACACAGCAAGTGGAGGGATGCGAGTAGCCAACTAGATTAACTGATGAGTTTAAACTTATCAGTTAATTGACTAGCCAACTCCTCGTTCACATTCCTAGTTTTCTTTGAAATACACAGATATTTGTGACCTCAGATATAAAATAATTATTACAGCAAAGGGCCAAATTTTTATTTTAAATCCGGGGGCGAGGGAACGACAAGGAGGCACCATATATGCATTTAAAATGAATAAGAACAGCCATTAAAGTTATAGACTGTCAAATTTTTCAGATAATTCCTATCTCCTAGAAATGAAACTCTGCCTTCTTCACAAGACTATTTCAAGAGAAAAAAATCCTGCTAGGTTTCACACTTGTACCTTTAAGAGATTTTACACATGGGCTGCTATTTTCTATCTCTTCTTCAACATATGGCTTGAGAGAGGGAGGGAGCTGCGAAAGAAAAATGCTAAACCAAACACCTCTGTGATATAAATTACTAGACTGGGTGTCCCATTACAGCAGTTTGTTCTTATGTATAAAGACAAGATTTTGGAGAAGCAATTGGTGGGAGAATGATTCATGTTCTAAACAACAGTTGGTAAGCCAGCGATATTTCACTACTCACTGACCCAGTAACTTATCTTCTAACCTGTTTAGTTAAAAAAGAGGGGTTTTTATTTTAAAAAATTACATTTCTGGTCCTTATTTCCTACGTCATATTATAGCCAGAAATTATAGGCCAAAATTTTAGCCAGACTCCCATAGAGTATGGAACTGATTGGTCCTTCCTAAGTGGAGCACTTTGTATTTCTCTTTATTAATCTTCATCCTGTTTACCTCTGACCATTTCTCTAACTTGCTAAGGTCATTTTGAATTATGTCCCTATCCTCCAAAGAAGTTGCAATCCCACCCAGTTTGGTATCATCTGCAAACTTAATAAGCGTACTCTCTATCCCAATATCTACATCATTGATGAAGATATTGAACAGTACGGGTCCCAAAACAGACCCTTGAGGAACTCCACTTGTTATCCCTTTCCAGCAGGATTTAGAACCGTTAACAACAACGGTAATGGGTAAGATAGTTTGAGTGTTTGTTCATTCCTTCTCGGAGAGTGTCGAATTTTAACATGAATGACAGTTCAGAGGATTCCCTTTCAAGTGCAGATGTAAAAGGTCTTTGTAGCAGAATGCAGGTGGTTAAGTCATTGAGAGAGTGTCCTTTCTGGTTAAAATGGCAAGAAACTGTTTTTTCTTTGTGATCTTGTCTGATATCTGTTTTGTGGGCATTAATCCTTTGGCGAAGTGTCTGAGATGTTTGTCCAATGTACATAGCAGACGGACACTTTCGGCACATGATAGCGTAGATTATATTTCTGGATGCGCAGGAATATGTGTTCTTGATCTTATAGCTCACTTGGTTAGGTCCAATAATGGTATCAGCAGAATGAATATGTGGACAAAGCTGGCAACGGGGTTTGTTGCAAGGGAAGGTACCAGGGTTGGTATTAGTGTGGTATGTCCTGTGGTTGTTGGTAAGAAAATGGTTTTCTTAGCATAAGATGAACTCTGTGTTACAAGGGTATATGTGCTTGCAAAGAGAGGACTACATAATCATTGTCTTGATAAAAATGTGGCTTTTGCATAACCACAACCAAGAAGAAAGGAAAGTCCACCTCACTTCTATTAAGCTTCACTTTGTTCCTGAAAAGTATATACAGCAGACTTCCAATAATCTGGCACCTTTGGGACCCAGAGAGTGCCGGATTATCGGATATGCCAGAGTATCAGGAGGTACTCCAGCAGGGGAGCTGTGACGGGTCTGGGAGGGGCGGGGGGCGGGGGGGGAATGGCAGGGCATGGGGCAAACCAGGTGCTGGTGAGGGGCAGTGCTGATATACCAACCTGGCAGCACCCCAGCTGCTCTGCTCCAGTGCTTCCTCAAGTCCGCCGCTGGTCAGTTTCAGCAGCGGACTTGAGGAAGCAGCGCGGAGCAGCTCCAATTGTCTGGCTGGCCAGAGCACTTCCGGGTTCCAGTTGGTGCCAGACTATTGGGAGTGCTGGAC